AAAAAGTTAGTTAACATTTCACGATAACGAACACCACTCACGGTTAATGCTTGATCAACTGCATTTTCGAAGAAAAATGGTCCGGTGATGCCTCCAGCCCACAATGCACACTAAACACTGACTCTTTTTGAATGCATCTGTTTCTGCACGATCACTCGTGGATTTCCAGAACCCCAAATGCGACAATTTTGTCGCTTGATAACGAATGCATCAAGATGAAAATAGGCCTTGTCACTAAAGATGATTTTCGTTGAAAAATCACAGTGCAATTGTTGTTGTTCCAAAATCCAATCAACAAAGGCTCTTCGTTGCGCATGGTCTCCCGGCTTTAGCTCTTGAGCCAATTCAACTTTGTACACATGAAGCTTCCAATCTTTTGTTAAAATTCGATGCATGGTGGTTGTGGAAACACCAATTTCCCGAGTTCTGTGCCGAATTGATGTGGTTGGGCTTTCCTCAACATTTGCACGTACTGCTGCGATATTTTCAGTCGAGCGACCAGGACGAACGCATGTTTCTGTTTTCACTTTATTAACCGGCCCAGTTTGCTGAAATTTCTTCATTAATTTTCTCACAGTGGCTTCAGTTGGAGCATTCCGATGGTCCATAATTGTACGCAATTTGCGAACTGTGGCTGCAAAACTTCCACCACTTTGGTAATAATTTTTCACAAAGATAATGCGTTGTTGTGTATTGAACCGCTCCATTTTACTTAACTTCCTGCTGTCTTTAGATAGAAATGACCTTTTGCAGTCCACTGAAATTCGCATTGCAATTGCTGCAACCTCGAAAACCATTATGAAATCCGAACCATCAAAGTAATAAGTCGTTCAGAGAAGTGTTAACTCTTAGTCCTAGTAAAAATGAATTTGCAACGATCTAAAGCGAATAGCAAATTTAAAGTGGATTGAACTGAAACATGATTTGATATAAGAAAATCTGCCTTATAAATTATTCAATGCCTGGAATATATTTCTTGGTCGCGCCCTTGTGCCATTTAAGTATAGCAATCAGGAGGCTTGCATCGGCACAGAACCGCGATGTGACAATTTGCCGTACATGGCGACATATTCATTTTCGTTTTATCGTTGATGAATTGCTGGATTTGAACACTGACACTGATTGAATGGTACAACTCGATTAGATACGGTGTTGAATGACTGGTTTGAACGTCGCCAAATTTGTCGACGATCCTTTATACTGCCAACGCAGAAGAAATGCCATCTGATTGACGGTTTCCACTCTTCACGTACTTCGATGGAAATCGGGTGCTTTATGAACTCGTGTTATCTTCACTTGAATATTTTCAGCGTGAATATCATCTAGGAAAAATGTCCGAGAGTTACTCAAGTTCATGGGCCATATAAACATTTTCTCTGAATGCTTAGGTATTTGTTTACCTATATAAAACACGGTAAATCAACAAGGCAGCAATTTTGCTCTTAAAATCTGTTTGGCATAATTGAGCGAACAATTGCGTTATTTTAACAAATTGATAAATAAATAGCTATTTCTAATACCACAAACGCCTGAAAACATTAACACGGAATCCAGTATATGGAACAAGGATAATGGAAACATTCAATGTATATAATTCGAAATAACCGCATATCAATAAATAATTATAGCACTATTATAAATTCGGGGTAGTAATATCGTTTACATTGCGTCGAAATTAAAATGTTTGATTCTATATTAATTTATCAATTTGAGCCTTGCTAAAATCAATAGGAAGTAATTAAGGTACAAATGGAGGATTAATGCAAAATCCGGTGGACCCTAGATATACCCAAACAAATATAATCACAATTCGCTACGAGTGTATTATTTAACATTGGATATTTTACCCAAATTAGTTCTAAGCTTGGTAAAAGTATAATTAATACAGAATATGTAACAGAGATGTTCCCTGTTATTCGTTTTAAAAATTGGAATTGAAGAAAAATAAGAAAATTTAGCATGTCCAACGCATGTAAATTGAAAAAATACAAGTATATTATTTAAATAAACTGTAGAGTGCTATTTTTATAAGTTTTTGCACACTGCCAGCAGATTTTTGCACCAAAAAAATGTATTCACAATATTTTATTTTTGACGCAAGCTTTCCGCTGTTTCCATACAAAAGAGCAGAATTTTTGTGTAACACTTAGCTTATATTCCCACGAGCACTTTTAGATAATAAGCTTTGATAACTCTGACCTGAATACAAAGAAAAAATTCAACCGCCAAATTTAATAATTTTACGAAGGCTTTTACGACCAAACTTTAAATCTCGTCTGTTTGGCAGTATGCAAAAAACTTTACATCGTAATTAAAATACCAACTTTACTTATGTACTTTATAGAGTTATTGAAGCATTATCAGATATGGGACCATTTCAAAATATATACTAATAATGCAGGTATTTAATGGTAGCAACCCAATGAAGTCAATCTCATGTCGAAAAACTTATTTATAAGAATATAATTTATATCAACGGTAGGTAAAAATGGAACAAATTGGTCAAAATCGAAAAAAGTCATTTTTCATGTGCAAAATAATGTACAAACTTGATAAATAGTCCTCAAAAAATATATACAGTTCTTTCGAGTAAGTAAATTTTTGACATAATTTTCTACTCAATATAAACCGTTTTTTTTTATTTGTACACCACTCGAAAATTTTAAACCCGTCAGAATATTCATATTACCTATTAATCACTGCACTTCACTACACTTTTTTCCGAAGTCTCATCAAAGGGTTAAAGATTAGATTATATCTATAAAATATACGTAACTATAGGTTCGGAAAGTATCTAACTTCGTTTAGTTTTATGAAAACTAAAGACGATTTTTGTATGAAATAAATAAATTTTCTGGTTTTGGAGCTAAATTTAGAGGCAAACAACATTTTTACCCACTTGTGGATTATTAGACAATTTCTCACTTTGCCGCCATCTATATGATTTATATTGACGATATTTCGATTGCGATTTTTCATAGATAGGAAAACAAATTGAATATTTGTAGGGAATTCTTAGAGATGTCCATTAAGATCGACGGCAAACTTATTCGAGTAAATGTAATTACTTGTATCGCTGCTACTAAAAAAAAATTACGTTTTGTCGGTTTTAATGCCAATTTTTTGGTTGGAAGGCTAAGAAATGTACTATTTATCAAACAATAAATAATATTTTCAGTTTGAACTATTGAAGCTCTAACGATTAACCGTGCTTTAGCCAGTAATTTTTGTTTCACCGTTAGCTTTCAAATGTTATTGAATTGATTACCTTCGTATAGAGATTCAGCTTCAAAATACAAAAATTTTGCAAGCGTCAAAATGTTTTAATAAATATATCATGTTTTATTGTTATATAAAATTGTAAAGTAAATTAAATTAATCCACAAATGGGCCAGGTATTTCCAAATAATTTTTAAACCAAATTACATACGCAAACAAACAAATAGCATTAATGGATAAAGTAGAGAACATCTTGTATACATAATTTACTACAGCGTTCAATCGTTAGGAAATCGAGTTAACCAACTAAAAGCCATGTTAAATTCACGACCAAACTGCAAGCTGCAATACATAACCGAAAATTGCGGAACATTGGATGAATTACGCTCCATCCCTATTGAAAATTGGAAACTGAGAACATCAAGCCGGAAACATGAAAAACATGCAAGATTTTTTCACAAAATTGTGCATTTAAACTAAAAGATAAAATTATACTAAACGAGGCTAACAGTAACTCTTTCTATGTATTTAATACGAAATGTTTAATTTTAAATGATTACGAATGAAGCTGCTATTAAAATTTCGCGTCTCTAATAGGTATCTACTATTTTTGCTGAGAAGGCTTCTTCGAGTTTAGTACCTCCAAATCATGAAAAGACTATTTACAACTGAGCCACTAAGAAAGTTTTTTAAGAACGTGGGAATTCATATAGATGGATCTTATTGCTAAGTCGACAAAATTATTACCATTCTATAATTTTCACCAAATGTTAAAAATAATTTAAAATATTAAGAGGAAATCGTTTTCAGTGTTTATTTGTAATATTTCGACCCGTTTCTAACTCTCATAGGTAAAGAAAAAACTTTGGCAGCAAAGGCAAATAATCTTCAAAGCAGTAACACTTTATGTATGATCTTTTTAGTTAAATTGATAAACAGCGGCTTCTAAAGAATTTCATGGGAATTTATTAATTATTTGCAAACTGAAAAATATCCTATTGTTGCTTTTTATACTTTTAGAGCAACTTTGTAAGACAATTTTTTTTCTCTTTCATTTTACATCACTTGTAAAGAACAAGTACACTCGTAGAAACCTGAAAGATAATTGTACTGCTAAAAAATGTGCTGAAAAAAGTATCTGCTGCAGGTTATCATTTTAAATTTAAAAAAATTATAAAAACGATCGTATAAAATTATACACAATAAATTTCTGATGTTTATGGGACATAAATTACTTTAATTATTTATCAATATCTTATCAATAATTTCTAATAATAAGACATTCCAATGCAATTTTAGTTAAATTGTCAAATCTTTCATCTTCTAGCGCTTAGCTCAAGTGTAAAATTTAAGAGAATGTTTTTAAACGACGGTTGCCTCAGAAACAGGTTTGTAAATCTAAATGAGAAATTATTGCATTGTGCTGTCACGAAAAGTTCTAGACTTATCGTTTTAAAATGCATACACATTTTTCATCAGGTCTACTTTTGTTCTTATCAACCAACCTTAAATTTACATTGTTAACTAGCACTAATCATCTTCATTTTAGTATGCAAACACTACAATTGAATATATTCGCCACGAAGTGTTTTTATCACATAGGCCATATTATTAACATAATCTTTTCCGATTATTGTATTTTAGAAAGTCATTTTTACTTGTGCATTGTGATGCGACCTAAATACCGATATAATTGGAAAGTAATCAAGTAAATCTCGTTTGGGTCCCATATCTGAAAAGTATATTCAGTCTAGAACGACTGAAGCATGTTTTTGTCGCAGCATCAGATCCTCCAACCACCTCACCAAAGCCTACGACAACAGAAACACCCAGTAGAGTGAAAGATTGGGGACTGAACGACTTAAACAACTCAGTTTATTGGAATCCGTCCTCTCTGACCATACATAATGATAAAGGTATCGAGTTTTACTTTGCAATTGTTTTAAATTGTTGCAACCATATATTTAGAATGCTCTTGTGTGATTATTTATACTTTAGGCTTTTGCATTAATTTATTTTAGACATTGTGATAGAACCTACAATTTTCTCTTCTATACCCTTTTTCTATTATTTTTATTTAGATGTAACTAAATTACATTCCTTAATTTAGATGTCTTTCAGAACCAGACAAGGAAACTAATAGATGGAAGATAAAAACATATCATCCATGATATCTACGTAAAAATCAAACGACAGACGGAAAAACCTTTTTAATTTTCTTGTTTATGGTATCGTTTATGGCTTCGCCATATTGATAGGTTGTAGATGAATTTTAGTAGGAGCTATACAGAAACTTTTGCCTTCTCGGTAAGGATTCCCACAACTAAAGAGAATCGGGAAAACAGACAAATTTAGCAACTTTGGAAGTTTTTAAACTCCGCATATTCGTCTCGTTTACTTCCTTTGGTTCGTTTTTATGAAGCAATTTAATTAGTGATGTTATCATCATTGTCTAATAAAGCAGAGAAGATTGTGTTGTTTATGTGAAACATCAATTCTACTTCAAGTGAAAATATTGTTGCACTTGCACAATATTTGAAATTTGATAATAAACAGAAAATAATTTCCTTATATATTGTTTCACGTTCAACAAAAGAAAAATATTTTATTCGGACATAGGAAGTAATAAAAGTTAATAGAGGCTTCTTTGAAGGGATTTTCTTCTGCAAACTGAATCTTGTAACTACGAACTACAATAAGAAATGGCAAAAGTTGGTAAGGAATGTTTTTAATAATTCTGCCGCTGTAATGGAATGTGTATGGATAACCCAAAGCGAAAGAATCTTAGTTTTCTAAAGTTGAAGACTGAAAATGGAAACATTTTGCTTAACATTTTACAGAATTAGGCAATATGAATTTAAGGAAAAAGTTTAGTTCTTAAAAGGTTTAACATTTTTCCTTTTTTAATCAGACTTAAAAGTTAAAACACGTAGCTTGCTCGGCTTTGTATTGAAAAATATTCTTTATTTAGAACTTGACCATCGAGAAATGCTTTTCAAAACTTTACATTAAAATTTCAAACTTTTCGTCGAATTCATTAGCGAACGTTTCTTTGATTGCCACTTTACATTGAATGCACGATGATGCTGTTTTTATCGTTAGCCACTCAATCATTAAAACGCGGCAAGTCGCAGCACAAAGACAAATTGTGATGAAAAGTGTAATTAGAAGCTGCTTTTTTCCAATGTTTTTCCAACTTTAAGTCCTCCAAACAAGTTGTATAACCACTCAAATGCCCACTAATTACTGATTTGAATTAACTTGGGTGAAGTTTTGAATGTAAAATCAGAGTTTAATTAAGCAATATTTAAAGGAAGGGAATTATTTCGAAATGAGGCATTCTCTAAATTAAATAAATCAATTTACATCTACATTCAAGAAGTAAATTCAACAAAGCAAAAAAATTGAAAGTGGTTACCATGGAAATATTAGAGTTGTAATTTTTTTTAAGCGAGCCATAAATTTCTGGTATTTTATAACAAATCCATCTCGTACTTTATTTGATTAGTTTAACATGTAAAGTATCTAAGACTTACCAGTTTTTGCTAAATTCTTAACGTACTAAAGTTTGCTTCTGAAAGTTGAAAATCAATTGTTGGCTTAAACTTCAAATGCTGCTTTAGAATCTTTCAACTGAAAGTTTTAAATTGTAAGCTTAACAGGGAGAAAATTTGCACTTAATAACTATCTCTAAGAAAGTGAACATTTATATTTTTTTTACCTGTGGTCTTTTAAAAATATTCTAAGCAATTATTATTCTACAATAGGTCAGTGAAGTTTAAACACTAGGCTAACTTGTGTTCCCAAAAAAAATTTGCATCGCATCTTTAATAATTCTAGTTGCAAATTGTTTCTGTTTTCTGATCATTATTTACAAACATTTACCATGAATTTAATATATAACTAGTATTTCGCGTCTGCGCTGTTAAGCACCTCCAAATGTTGAAAGAATATACAGAGTAATAAAGAGTTGTTCCCAAACACTTTTTTGCAGAAGGGTTGAAGCTCTTAAAAAAGCATTCAGTTATCTGTATCTCACTCGTCTTCTGTTTGTATCTGAAGTGAAAATTTAGTAGAAAAATAAGAAACAATAATTATTTTGTTTTTAAATTATAAAATCTCTGACCATATCAATATGGTAATTAATAATTTTTTTCTTCAAATAATTTATTTCCTTTTTACAAAGTATGTGTTCATATGAGCACCGCTCTAAATCTGTATTCCTCAAATTAAAAATGTTGTTGATTTTTTGTTTCTTGTAATGAATTACTAACAATTTGGTTAACGATCAATTTTGGGTTTTTAACATGTTAATTAGTTTTTATTTTTTCATAAGGAGTTCAAGAACATTTTTTGATAAAATATGTATTTAACGACTACAAATGACTGTTAACTTACCTTCAGTCAAATTATTGACTCGGGCAAGTTTAAGCTTGAAAAACGTGCTTAAGTATAAAAAACATACTTTCAATTCATATTACATTGGAAACATACTAAAGCGTGAACTATTGACACTCTTAGCTAGCTAGGGAATATTGGGGTCCAAAGTACAGTCAAACAACTTGATTTGATGAAAGAAAAACAGCGATACAAAATGGGAAATTTACAGGTTTATTAAGCAACTGAACAAAGACTCCAAATGTTTGACTCTGCAAAACCACTCTGTGTATTCTCACAAACATTTTCCGTAAGTTTTTCAGTGAATCTCTGTCGAAATTCGCTATACCTTTCAAGAAGAAGGCACTAAACTCCCATGAAACTTCACATGATTATATCAAAATTTCTATTAGAAGAATTAATTTGCAGTGGTAATTGACGATAATGTGGACATTTAAAAATTCACAAATTAAATGAATTAAGTAAAACGCTTTTCTAACTTTGCGACCTACTATTTTGATTTTATTGTGAAAAAAAAGTTTATCCTTATCCGGATTTTATAGATTTAAAATGCGTCTAGAACCAAAAAATATATAACAAACTTGGGTAAATGGTAAGTAAGTGTTCCATTAAAATGTAATCCTAATTGTAGCGTGTAATTGTTTTAACGGTTTTATTTCTGTTTCTTCATGAATTGTTGTTGAGAGAGCAAAGCTGGTTTATAGTAGCGATTCATGAAAACAAAAAGTATTTTGAAATAATCAAAAAAACAATTGATGAAAATAAATATAAAAGTGTAAGAACGTTTCTATGGGTAACTATCGTAAATTAGCAGATATTATTATAAAGGTATTTATATTCGTTTTTTTTTTCAGGCCACAACTATCAGTCCAATTTGAATGAAATAGACAAATCTGAACAAAAATCTGGTACCGGTAATAATAGCAAAGGAGTTACATTTAGCGCTACGGACAGTGCTTCCATAATTAAAAGTAAGTAATTATTGGAGTTATTAAAATATATTTTAAACCACATCTTTGAAACAAAAACATCCGAAAAAGCGACAAGTGATTATAATATAGCAATAATTTTGTCAAAGGACAAATCAAAAATGTTTGACTTCAAATATAATTTGGAGAAGTTTCAAGACCTGCATGAGGGAAATCACAATATTTTATGAAATCGAGAAAGGGTTTAAATAAATATGTATAAAAAATACAGTTAAATGTGGAAGAAACCAATTTTCAATTTTTGATAATACCGGAATTTCTTCTACTGAAAAAATGGAATAAAGGTACCAAGTAACCAGAGAGAAAACAGATTTTGACATTATTTGGAGTAAACCCTTATGGTGTAATGTGGACCTAAATTTTAAATGACGTCTTTAGTGGTGTAGTACACTAAAATGCAAAGTGTACAAGCGCTATGCATGGGAAGAGTAAAGGGAATCCGATATGCGTTTGGGGAAAACACATCAAAGACAATATGTGTTACTGCGATTTCTAAGACGAAATCTAGGATTTTACTTTTAACAGCATGGTATTTTCTCTTAGCCTCTTTCCTTCTAGTTAATATTTTATTCTAGTGGGTAAAAGACCATTATTTTAATGCAATTGCAATTCTTTTCATTCTTGTACCAGACGTAGACTTGATCTGGTTATCAACTAGTAAAGGAATGTCTGAGAATTTCAATGAAAATGATGAAAAGCAATAAAAATTGTCAGTATCACATAGCAAATTTGTATGGAAGATTTAGCAGAACTATAGAATATTTTCTTTAATAAGTTCTTCCAGAAAAGTTGAATTTGTAATTTTCATTGCAAATTAATTTTTGCTAGCTTGACCTAGAAAAACATTTGTTTAAACTCTGCTTGTGAGTCAAAACGATCTAAAGGTTTTCTACTAAAGCGTATAGCCTAATGAAAAATTTGATTAATTTTAATATTTTGGTAAAAGTCTTTTATATAATAAGTTTCCTTTCCGAACTCTTCTCTAAGAGTATAAAAATTGGGTTTAATTATTTATTTTAAAAGTTAGGGGATCTAGAAGTCACATATTACACCATTAAAAAACGTTTTTGGAAATGCCTTTTTCATTTTTGAAATAATTTTCAATATGTATCTAATTTTCAATATTGGAGTGGAAATTTAAATTACACTAAAGTAGACCCAAATTTATGTGCGAGTATGACTTATCTAAAGAGCCCTTTACGAATTTTGTAATATTTCATGTAATGTTTGTTTGCTTTCTAGAGCCTTTAGAAGTGGAATACACTCTGCTGCTTTCAAAAGCACTTTTCTTCATTGCAAATAAATAGAAAAAAGTGTAATAAATAAATAAAGTTTGAACACAACAGAACTACCACAAGCAAATAAAGCCAATTCATATATAAACATATTATACTTTTCTAGTTGAACAGCTTTGAAGTTCTAGTATTGAAGCAGATAAGGTTTGAAAAATTCTCAAAAAATGATATAAATCTGAATTCTGGTTCTTGAAAAATTATTACTTATAATAATGTATTTAATGTCAGCCAAATTATTTAAATTAAAAAAAAAATAATTTAAAATTCAGCAGAATTTTTGTGTGATAATTTTTATTTGTAATTGCTGTTTTTTCTCCCAAAAATCAATTACGACCATCAACTTATTCTTTTTTCTAATGGATGCACGTGATTTTTGTTCCTAATTTGATTTTTCTACTGAATTTTACGTATGGTTCAGGTAACACGTGCTATTAATATAACCTTAAACCCTAAAAAACCACCTTAAACTCAACGGTTGCCGAGAAATTCACGATTGGTCCCATAAATAATTAATAGTGACGATTTCTTTCAAATTTCTGCAGTCTTTCCACAAATTTACGGCTTCAGGTTTTTGGCCAAAAACCACTTCCTTAATTTTAAATTAATGAAACATTGCTTCTGGGACTCACTGTATATGGACTCACACTTGCATAAAATCACTCACATTCAAAAGTCTTAAAATGAGCTGAAATAATTACAATTTTAACAGGAAAGCTCAAGATTTATCAAGACAAAATCCATTTTCAACAAAACACGCAACAAAAACCTTACAAACCATACACATGCATAATATCAAAATTATATCTATAAAAAGTATTCCGCACAAAAAAACCTTGAATGGTTGGTACATGGTACATTGAAACATTCCTGGTTTTATATTATGGTTTGAAAAAAGTTATGAATAGTGTACACATTAAAATCTAAAATTTTGTATGGTTTTGTATCTATCGCCAATGATTACTATTCCGTATTACTAGTTCGCAAAATCCCATTTATCAATATTTAACTCATTTTTTTTTCTTTTTTATCTTCTGCTTTTCCTGTTATAACTTAATAAATTATATGCAATTTGAGAAACCTGCTACTATTCAGATGAACTCACTTCATTTTAAGCGAATCCTTTTCCATCTCCTTCACACTTTTGTGCTTACTGTTCCAATTGCTACGCTTTGATAGTACTACGAGTGCTTTATCAAAATAATAAACTAATTCAAAACATTTATTGGCTCGAAATGAATTTAGGCTTCAGGCTGAAAATATGATTTTTTTAATGTACCGTTATTGAATGATTTCAATTTTTATACCTAAATGTGCAAGTTATATTTATCCAACTTAGGAGGTAAAAATTATGTTGGTTAATTCTTTGCTATTTATTGTTCCCGCTATATGATTGCTCTTTATGTTTTCAAAAAACCATACATTTGAGGTGCAGTTTTCGTAGAAAACGTATTGTTAGAATCATTTTACATGCACTTAGATGCAACTGGTTATATTTCCGCCAATAACAGGACAACAAGAATAGTTCCTCAGTCTTTTAGTTAGTTATATTTTGCAACTTTTTGACCTCAGATATCTAAAAAGTATTTTTCAGTGGCAAGTGTTTTTGAAGATAAATTAATTCATTATCATCTCAAATAAGTTAAGTTTAAAAACTCATTTGGGCCTCGCTTACCCGCCGCTTTCGTGCCTCGTTTGAGCCTCGTTTGCGCCTGACTTAAGTGTACACAGTTTTATGACAATTCAAATCTATGCTGTAGCGACGTATTCTTTGCCTCCGCTTAAATGCAAATTAATAATCTGGACAGACCCAATTTACAATTAATTAATTGTGAAGATAATGTAAATAGCCTAAACACGCGAACGTGTCCCAATTCGTGTAAACCTTTCAATTAACTATATCAGTCGAAACAACATTTTCCAGTAAATTCAATCAACAGACAGCAAAATCCGGAAACACAGTCATTTCATTTTTAATGATCTACTAACTTGTAGCTTTCTCTGACAGTCGACGAGATCTTTATTTTAGGCTTTATTTTATTTTGCTTTTGCCGGAATGATATATGTGGATGTAGTGGGTAGTTTTCCGGTACGGCGCGACACATTCATAGACGTCAAAGGACTGAAGCCATGGGTCAATATGAACGGGGGAAATTGAGAAAATTCTATTTCCTTCGACCTTTTGACACGCTATAAACTGATGTGCATGACTCCATTATATACCTCGGAGGGTTTTACACATACATGCCACCAATAAATACTTGTCTTGACAACTTTACAGCGATAAACCTGTTTGTGATGATAAGAAAAAGCCTGACGAACGTCGCTATTTGTCGTTTAAAATGCGAAACGAGCAATTATTTCTCTTATCCGACAAAAGGCCCTCAAATGAGAGACGTAATGAGGCTAAGAATGAGAAGTATTGTGCTAGGGCTCTAAATTTGACCTGCAATCTGAGAACATCTAGTTTAAATAATACGATTATCAGTTTAAAGGTGTTTTCCTAACAAATGACTACGAAGTGACAAGGGAAATTGTCGTGGGTGAAATTCCGTTTAAGAAATTCTAGCATTTTTAGGGACACAATAGGAAGGCATATTAACTAATTCCATATTATTTATTATTCCTAAGGAGGAAATAATATTTAAAAGTCGTCGTTGTTTTAGGGTTTGGCTCAACGTTACAGTAGCTCGAAATAGGGGCTTAATTTCCAGCTTCAAATGTGATATAGTTGAAGACAAATTGCAATATTCACTTTTTTAGTAGTATTTAGATTTGTTTGCTAGTTGGAAACGTTATTCAAAGACATCAATTCATCAAATTGATGAAGCAAATAATTTCAGGTCAAAGTACTTGTTACAGACTTAAAAATATTCTGTTTTGTTTCAGATTGTTTGATTCTTCCGATTGTGATTTTCGAAGGAGTAATGTATGCACTACTACGGTGAATGCATTAAACACAAAGTTACTTAAATGTTAGGCATAGAATTGAAAATAACGTTAACTGTAAGCTGTGAGCGCTTAAATGTAAAATTGTTTATATGTATAATCTATTTTAAAATATAAAGACTGAGATTGATTAGATTGAAAATTTATTGGAATCACCGAAATTATTTCAAAGTATAGCGTATTCGATTATCTAATATTGCACATTCAAATAATCGTTAAAAATAATAGGCGTTAAATAATGTCATGAAATTAAATAAAAATTGTTTTACTTTTAGTAATGTTGCATTAGGTAAATGGCATTACTGAAACTGTATTTCAAAATCAAAATTAATCAGTGTTAGAACGCACTATCCTAGAAGATTATACAGTACCTTAAGCTGCTAGGTGGATATTTTAGATTTAAGTTAAAACGAAAGCAATTAAGTGTTTTTCCAAAAAATTCCAAAATAAAACCAATAGCTTCGCAGTTAGTGCCAAAATCACTATAGTGCCAAAAATCATGCTTATGGCTACACTCTGTATAATCTAATAGTAGATTTTTTGCAAAAGTAGAAATTTGGCGAAATATCATAAGGTGTAGCTTTTCTAAATAAGTTACAAAAATATACAACCGTATGATAAAAAAATTGACGTTTGCTTTGTTGTAAGAATACTATTACAGGGTAAAAAAATCTCCGTTAAATAACCATTATACGATTCTAGAAGTTTTAATATCAAAACAATGCATCAAAGGTTGACATTCTTTTTTATCTCATAAAACGAAAAATTTCATATAATGCTAGTAATAATGCACCATTGCTTACTATTTTTATCATATGGTAATTTGGTGTGTAAGTACAATCTAACATAAACTTAGCATTTCGTAAATAAGTCGTATTTAAAACTAAGAGTACTTTAAATTAAATTAAGACTTACATACTAACCAGTGAAAGTGGATTGCAATTTTGCTAATTATTTAAATATCGAAACATGCGAACGAGAAGTGCCTATTATTACAGATTAGTCATTTTCCAGTATTTCCAAAAACAGACCTGCAGTATTTGTGGTCGAAAGCATAAAAGCTTTATAGATTTGACATTTCCATGGAAAATAAAATTTCAAGAGCCCCTTCTCGTTCTAGAAGAAGTTTTAACAGGGTATTAGACTTTTTAGAGAAGTCAAATTAGCTTTATCAATATTTGTCCACTTTCAGTCGGCTAGAACATGTCAAGAGCTTCTCAAAAAGCTCAAGCGTGGATGGAAACTTTATTGGTCTTAATTTTATAGCATTCGAAGTTAATGTTGAAATAATTGCATCCCATTGTTATAGTCAAAATGTATTTTTGAAAACTTGTGTTTTAAATAAGATGCACTATTCGATTAATTCATACTTTTAAAATATTTTTCGCTAATATTTATTAAAGTATATAATGTGTGTAAAAATATATCAATAATCCACTTGCGTTTATACAAATAAATTAGAACAAACTATCCAGGGTTTTTTTTTAATATGATGTTAATCATTTCCTTTTTAATTAGATATATTTGGAATTACTTTTTCAATTTATTTTTTTTAGATAAACTTGAATCCCCGATATTTGTTCACTTTTTCATATTACAACTGCGCCGTAAACCTTTGTGCACTATGTGAATTTAGACTAATATCAAAATTCAATCAAGTTCCAGGCATTTTCTTGAAACTTGACTTTGCAATTCTTCCTATATAAGTTAAGTAGAAATAAGTATGGTTTTCCTTTAAATAAGTGAGTTATCTGTATATATATATATATATTATATTACACTGATATAATGAAATTGGATTGGGTTTTCATTTTTCTATTCATCTAATCCCGCTTTGGAGGCGACTGATTTGTGCTTTGTTTTATTGTGAGAGCTTTACAATGATTATTACTTTTTTGGTATCATCAAGGGTAATTTACATAACAAAAGTCTAGGTGAGACAATAGGAAGTGGAAGCTAAATAAATGGAATATAATAAAAATGAGGAAAGTACTGAAAAGATCTTCAGTCGAATTTAAATTCTGACAAATTCCTTAAAAAAACGTTTCCCTTCTCGCATTTCAATCCTATTTAATTATTTCCGTGATTATTTACATTTCTTTTAAATTAAGCACAGTAAAACCTTTCGATTATAGTGAATTCATTTGAGAGGCAATTAATTAGAGAAAAATGTAAATTTTTATAATTTCCAGGATTTACTGAAAAATTTTGATGGCCTATGGTAATTTCTAAACAAAGGACACCAAGCAGATATAAAGAGACCTTTTATTTTTTGGGTGGAATAAAATTAATGGGGTAAGCAAACCATGAAATGTAGATCCAGACGGTATTATTTCCGCGACAGGGAAAATCTCTACCAAAATGTAATTAAACGTATTTAAAGGTGTGCAGCATTTCTTACCAAAATAATTTTTAACTAACATATAATTTAAGTACGTAATAGGAGCCGGCGCTGCCAGAAACAACTCGCATATAATGGGACAAAGTTGTTATATTCTGTAATTTATAGTGAAATACAGAGTACAGGGTGTTCTAAATATTATGTATGGGTAATTAGTTAGATAAGTTTTTACTAAAAGTGAATATACGAGTAAACTAGACTCCCCAAACGATTCTTTTCTGATATATCGTTTGTTTAATTTAATAGAGCTTTTAAGGTTTTTTATTATTCAACTGAAATTAAACGAATTAATGCTAATATAGAATTTACATCATTGCACCTTTTTGCAGTGCGCGATTGCTAAATCTGCACGAAAAAATCTACTTTCTCGTTTGCTTAGAAAGGTTCTAGCCCCCTGTCCTATTCTGGTTTCTAAAAAATAATCAATAGAACAATTTTCTCTAATTTGCTTACGAAATTCTCAAATATTTGTATGTTTGTTGTTCAAATTCACCTTAATAGATTTTATTTTGATTCGACTACTTATGATAAATATATTACTGTAAAACATAACTTTTTCTAGTAGAATCACCTAGATATTCTAAATAATTTCCACTGTGTATTTTAGTTCAAAATTTTAAATATGAGCAGGAAAATGATGCAAAATGAAAATGTTTTGTTAATGTGCGCTTTCTTTGCACATTATTCATTGCTACTTGTCCACCCGCATTAATTTTAGAAGCGTTTTTTTTTTTAGATTTTTGAGTTCTTTTATCAACGCTTTTTTTGTTAATTAATGCTAGTCATAATTTAACTCTGCTCAATTTGCGCCAGCTCAAATTTTATGGCAATTTATTAATATGGTCAATCGATAGGGGACGACATTATATACGATATTGCATACCTGATATGAAACAGAATATAAATCTGCCGATAATGAATCATTTTCATAAATCAATATAGTGAAACTGCGGTCTTTGTACAAGCAATTATTATGACAGGCGTTGGAACGATGTGGTATGCTACGGTGGTCGAAACCCTACAATTTCATTAGTTTCTATCGGATAATAAAGCTGTATTAAAAACCACAATGTTTGATCTTAAAATTATTCCGGAAATGAAACCAGAGAATTAGGATGTTGATTTGGAAATTAAATTGGGTAATTTAGGCCGCAGTGTATAGAAAATCTATCAGCGCACTTTCAACATTGTTAGTTTTTTAATTAATCTTTCGCGGAAGTGACTATCCTCCAAACCGCCTTAACATCCGCTGGCAGGTTCTACACAATCCGGATTGTTACCTGTTGATAAATGAGTAAATATTTTCCCAATTTCTCAGGAAATATCAAAAACAAAGTGTTTCCAAAATTTCATTTTTTACCAAAATATGCTGGATAATTCTTGTTTAGACAACATCCAAAATGCATCAACAAACCATAAAAATTATTCAAATTGTATAATTGGGTTCAACATACTGATTAAACTAAATTAACTTAGAACAAACTTCACATTCTAAAGTACACACAAACTTAAAGTACATTCTAAAGTACAGAAAAACTGAAATTGCAGACAAATGTTATCCCTTCGAAACCCCTTTGATAGTATCTATATTTTGCGCGTACGGCAATAATTTGCTACCACACGGAGAAATATTTCAAATTTTTCTGTTTTTTGGATGATATTTAATAAAAGCGATAAACTTAGAGCACGAACAGTTGTGTCACCGTCAAATATTTCTAAATTATCTATTTATTTGAGTTCATAATTATAAGTTTTTCGCGACTTGTTATAACCATCAAGCAAAAAATCCACAATTTCTTGAACATAGTCCAAGGATTTTCAAAATTTTCAGTTCAGAATGCGTCAACCTGTTATTCATAAGCAAAATAAGTTTCCGATTCTGGACAAATATAGAATGATACTGATGATATCTAAGGTCTAATAATTCCCTTTAACGCTACTTGAGACCGGATGAAAATTCAACTTTCCATAACTCATTGGCTCATTCAATTTTGTTCTCTACCTTGAAGAATTCTTGTAGGTCGATGACCAATAAAGAAAAATAAATAGTGTAAGTACTGTTTCAGGTTAATATATCTTATTTAGAACTTTAAATTTTCCAATAAAGTAGTGGTCAAAAGCGTTTTGAGAAAAATAAGAAAAAAATGCTTGAAGAAAGATTCTGTAAGTAATAACATACGTGTCTAGAGTGGAAATAAAATTGATTTAGACAGTCGGCTGTGGTTCACTTTACAAAGTTTCATAAAACATTATTTTAAAAAATATAAAAATTGAATTATTGTTGAATTTATCTAAAATATATTTAAAAGATGCACGCGCAACCTATAAGGTTGTGACGAAGTTTTCAGAGAGAAAAAGGTACGAAACAAAGTGAAAGAAAGCAAAGGAAAAATGTTTTAGGGACAGTAAACTTGTACATCGTAGATGCCAAAAGACTTTCCTGAAAACCCACAATCAATGATGAAGCGAGTAAACTTTACTTACAAGCTGAATCGAATTGGCTACTTTTTCGATCCAAATCTTTTCATTTTTAAAGGCAGTGAAAATACTGCACATTTCAGTCAAATGAAAAATAACAATAACACTTAGAAACCTGGTGATGGGAAGCACCGAATTAAATAATTCAAATTGTGAAAAATAAGTTTATAAATATAATAACTTAATAAAATTAGTTTAATTAAATGTTAGTAAATCGAAGTGTTTTTGCAATACGGCTGTGGTTTTGGGCCGGGTGATGAAAAGGGAGGAAAGAATCAACAAATGGAAAATTAGTTATATTAAAAAGAGATGACCGAATTAAAGGACAATAATACACATCATTTGGGGACAAAACGATTCGACTTAAAGATGAGAAAGAATCATATTCCCAAAGTTCTAAAACTCAATCAGAAAACTAAAAAAGTAGAAAACGTCATGTTATATTGAATCCGGTATTGAAAATAGATATATTTAAAAAAATTAATGAAAAAGCTACATAAAACATCTATCTGAATTGCGAATTACGGACGAGTTGATACTGGTCCACAGTGAATATAGGGCAGGTTGCTAACAAGTTTACACATAGCTTGGACCAAGTTCAGGAGCTTGTGCAAACCCAAAGGATAGTTTGCAAACTATCACACACGATATACAGGAGCATCTACAAACAACGGAGGAAATATCCACCTTTTATATCGGTAAGTTAAACATTTTCCTAGAAAGTCAAATTAGTCAGATGCCGTTATGTCGTTAAAGGGTTTCTCGTTAAAAGGATTGGATTTTATCATTTTCCAACGCGGCACGTATGCCTGGTAAATTCAAACTTTGCTCTGGGGCTCATTTAATATTTTGAAGTGAAAGGCTGTTATGTCAGTTTTTTTCAGTACCTATTCATAGTTGAATTCAATCGCAAATATCGATTTTTTTGGCTTTCATCCAAACATCCGGCATACAGGGTGTTCTTTTCAACCACACATTTAAATCTCTGATTTAAATAACTGTTATAAGTGGAATATTCAGGAGAATAGCTTTTATTTATTAGCAAAATAACTGCAATCACTCTAATTACTAGCTTAAGGCATTATTTAGACTCAATCTGTTGATCAATAGTTAATCCTGATGGATCAGTAAATTTTGAGGAGACGAGAACAAGTTTTTAAACTATTATATAAAGCAAGTGGTAAACAAGCGTTTTAGTGTATAAAAACTGTTTGTTAATTTTTAAGTTAACAACGTCTCAGATTCTGATAAATGAACTTAACATTTTCTGAATAAAACACGCTATAAAAGCTTTTATGCATCACAAGTTTCTCAATCACTATGTACATGTTATTATAATTTTAAAATCTGCTTCAAACAAGTTAGTTATATATTTCCTCACCCCACTCGGTAGAATGATGCAGTCTCAGTTTTACGCTAGAATAGTGAATTAATAGTCTGTACAAGAAAAATAAATTATTATTTCTTGTCCTTATTTAGGTTATTAATAATTTTGATTATTTACTTCAAACTTCTGGATTTTCTCATCAGAATGAACCGGACGCTCGCAATAATCAGCTAGTTT